AACAACTCTCTTCCTATATATGTAATTCAGTAAAAAATTACAACTACATATTCACCATACATAAAATTGAACTTTTAAAAATACTGTATACACACTTTATTTAATATTCTATCAAGCAATGAATATATATAAAAAAAAATGCACACAGCAGTGATAAAAGAGATTAGGTTTTGTATGCCTGAGATAAAAAAAAAACACAACAGTGATAAAATACACACTTTATTTATACAGTATTTTCTACCCAGCAATTAGGTTTTGAATTCACACAGCATTTTACACAGCATTTTACACAGTATTACTTTATACATACAGTATATTCTACCCAGCATTTTTTTTTTTTTTTTCATTTCTGCATATTTATATTTATTAAATGCACACAGCAGTGATAAAAAAAAAAATGCACACAGTTGTGTACTCTCTATTCTACCCAGCAATTTATTGACCATATGAAAAAAAAATTATTTATATACCTGGACATCGGGCCGAAACCCTAACAAGTTCTTGCACCTATCACGCCATTGTACCGGTGTTAGGTCTACCGTCACTCCTAAACAAGCAGCTCCATCGGCCGGTAGACCGAAAAGGACTTGTACATCCTGCAGAGTTATGGTCGCCTCCCCGAAATCGAAAGGAAAGGTGTGCGTTTCCGGACGCCACCTTTCGAGCAGACCGGTAATGACGGCATTGTCGGTTTGGACTCGGCCCATTCGAAACAAGGTCCCGAAACCGGTCCGATCGATCACCGCCCAAACCGACGGATGCTGCTTTGGCAAAGCCTTCCAGAACTGTAAGTCGTAGCGGCGGTTTGAAACCGTGTCGCTACGAGCTCCCGGTTGATTATTATAAACCGCCCATGCCCGATGTTTGTAATGAAGATATAGAAATTTGGGATCCCTCGGTCCAGGGTGTACACCGTATCTCTGAGGCTGGGACGACGATGATGAAGCCATTATCTACAATTACAAAAAAATATATTATGTTGAATTGAAATGCAAAAGAACTTGAAAAAAAATACCATCAAATTATGAAAGAGAACAAAAGAAACACATTGCAATTGGGAATGCAGAATAAGACCAGAAATAAGTTATACTCATTGACATGAACCCAATGAACCTGAACATCCCATCCCATTGACATAAAAATAATGTTTCCTACCCAGAAATAGAAACGGTAATAAGTTATACTCATGTTTCTTCACTAGATTTTATCCCCAGCAACAGAAATGGTAATTCGTTATACTCGTGTTTCTTCACTAGTTATCGCTCAATATCGATCCAACTAAAAGGCAGGCTCATAAGATAAAATAGATAACACAAAATCAATTCAACTAAGATAATTTAGGGTTAGGTTTTTGCAATCGAGCAGAGCATCAATACATACAAGACCATATCTCAGGCACAGAGACAAGACCATTTTCGAGCAGAGCATCAATACATACAAGACCATTTTCGAGCAGAGTCTCATTTTTTTTGCACAGAGACAAAGTAACATTGAAAAGAAAAATGGACTGAGACTACAACTAATCTCGAATTAAGTGGTCAACAACCCTAAATCAATACATACAAGACCATATCTCAGGCATACAAGACCTAATTCAAACCGAATTTCGAATTCAAAACCT